TCTTTTGACCTCGTGATCCGCCCGCCTTGGCCTCCCAAAGGGCTGGGATTACAGGCATGAGCCACGGCTCCCAGGCCATTTTAACTATTTTTAAGTGTACACTTCAGTGGCATGAAGTACATTCCCATTATTGTGCAACTATCATTTTACAGTTCACCAGCAGTGCACAAGGCTTTCACTTTCTCCACATATTTGCCAATATTAGTTTTTTTCTCTCTCACTTCATAGGCATGATCATAGTTTACTGCAGCCCCAACCTCCTGGACTCAAGTGATCCTTCCACCTCAGCCTCCTGGGTAGCTGGGACTACAGGTGCATGCCTCTACACCCAGATAGTTTGATTTTTTTGAAATGGAGTCTCGCTCTGTCACCCAGGCTGGAGTGCACCATCTCAGCTCACTGCAACCTCCGCCTCCTAGGTTCAAGTGATCTCCTTCCTCAGCCTCCTGAGTAGCTGGGATTAAAGGCATGTGCCGCCAAACCTAATTTTCGTATTTTTAGTAGAGATCGGGTTTCGTCATGTTGTCCGGGCTGGTCTCAAACTCCTGACCTCAAGTGATCCACCCACCTTTGCTTCCCAAAGTGCTAGGATTACAGGCATGAACCACTGCACCTGGCCTCCATATTTTTTTTCTTTCATATTTTTTATAATAGCCACTCTAACAAGTGTGAAGTGGTATCTCATTGTGGTTTTGATTTTCATTTACCTAAAGATGTTGAAAATCTTTTCGTGTACTTATTGGCATTAGATTTGGCAGTGATTTCTTGGATATGACACTAGAAGCATGGGAAACAAAAAATATCTAAATTTGGCATCATCAAAATTAAAAACCAATGGCATCAATGGACACTATCAAGAAAATGAAAAGGGGCCAGACACAGTGGCTCACGCCTGTAATCCCGGCACTTCGGGAGGCCAAGGTGAGCAGATCACTTGAGGTCAGGAGTTCGAGACCAGCCTCACCAACATGGTGAAACCCTGTCTCTACTAAAAGTACGAAAAAAAAAAATTAGCCAGGCGTGGTGACATGTGCCTGTAATCCCAGCTACTTGGAAAGCTGAGGCAGGAGAATCACTTGAACCTGGGAGGCAGAGGTTGCAATGGGCCGAGATCACACCACTACACTCCAGCCCAGGCGATAGAGCGTCTAATAAAAAAGAAAGAAAAAAAAAGAAAAGGAAACCAACTGAATGGGAGAAATGATATTGTAAAATAATGTACCGAATAAGGATCTAGTATCCAAAATATATAAAGAACTCATACAACCCAACAATAAAAAGCCCAATTTCAAAATGGGCAGAGGACTTGAAGAGAGTTTTCTGTAAAGAAGATATGCAAATAGCATATGAAATGATGCTCAGCATCATTAGCCATTATGGAAATACAAATAAAAAATACAATGAGATAACATTCCATACCAGAAACTAAAAAGTGCTGGCAAAGAAGTGGAGAAATGTGACCATCACTGTAAAACGGTGCAGCTGTTGTGGCTGACACTTGCTACAGCATGGAGGAACCTCAGAAACCTTGTGCTGAGAACCCAGCACGGGGGCACACATCTGTGTCCCTGTAATCCCAGCTACTCAGTAGGCTGAGGTCGCTTGAGCCAGGAAGTTCAAGTCCAGCCTGGGCAACATAGCAAGACCCCACCTCTAAAAAGATAAAAATAAAAACATTGTGCTAGTTGCATACTGCATGATGCCACTTATATGAAATACCCAGAATAGGTAAATCCAAAGAGACAGCATATTAGTCGTTGTCAGGGGTCAGAGGAAGGATGGAATAATAGTTGTTTAATGGAGACAGGATTTCCTTTTGGGTGATGAAAATATTTTGGACCTAAGAGGTGGTGGCTGCACAATTGTGCATGAACTAAATGTCACAAGTGTACATTTTAAAAGTTAATTTTATATTGTGTAAATTTTACCACAATAAAAAAGTAAAATCTGGTCCACAGCTTTCCCTCACCAGGGTGAGCCCTCATTGCCTGGCATTTAAGTCCCTCCACAGCTCAGTGCTGCCCGGGCCTGGCCAACAACATTCCAGACATGCTCCAGCTACACCATCTGCCATCTCTTAAACCTACAGCTGTTTCATCATTCCAAGTTCAGTTCACCTTCCCTCTGATGCCTTCACAGACACCTCGTGATCAGCAATGCCTCCTCAGGGCACACAGGGTCTTTTGAAACTTGCTCTGCTGTAATTCATACCTCAGTACATGGTCTCCAATGGTTGTCCCATTTCAGTAAGTAGAAATCAGTGTTTTCTTACCACCATGTGCAGGTGTCTTGCTCAGGTGACTCACAGCAATCTGCCAGATATGGCTAGTTCCTTGTGTTGAGTGGGGGGCCAGGCTCAGGCGGTTGAGTGATTCACCTGCAATCACACAGCCTCTAAGTGGCTTCACACTCAGGTTCCAGACTGGAACCCGGTCTCCAGGTGCCACTCAAAGTTTGTGAGTCATAGAAACCTGTGTCCAGGACACACAGGAGAGGTGTGCCAGCTATGGGGGCACTTGCCCTGTCATGAGATGGCCCAGGTCCCACGTAAAGCCTTGTGAGCCACACAGACTCTGTTACAAATACACTAGCCTGGGGCTCCCCAGAAGCCAACTCCAGGAAGTGGAATCAGGCTACTATTGTAGTATTTTTAGAACTGAGGCCACCTGCACCTCGCTTCCATCCATACCCCTCCCACTCTGTATGCTAAAGATCAATTATAGGGCCTGCCTCAACCCTGATGATTCAGCTCCACAGAGACTCCCCACAAAACCTTGGGGGCTTTGCAGGCAAGCAGAGCAGGAGGGATGCTATCTGAGTCAGAAGGGGCTTTTGCCTTTAGGGGCCTAGGACTGCAAGTACTTTCTGCCCCGGCCACAGGAGGCATTTGAGCACCCAGGAGAGGTCCCCTGCTCTAGCTCAGCATCCAGAGGAACCAACCTCTGGATTTTCCTGCCTTCAAAACTTAAGCACCCCATCCCCAGAAGAGTCTTGATCTAACCCTTACTGGGCAGGGGATCCCAATGCCAGCCCCAAACCTAGCAGTTAGGCCCTCCTGTGAACTGCCTGGAGCACCAGGTACAAGGATGGGGCACCCTGGGAGGGGCCATGGTTATGTGGCACCAGCAGGGATATGGAGATCACCAGCAGAGACAGAGACACTGCTGGGGTTGAATTATGTCCCCTAAATTCCTATGTTCCAGTGCTGACCCCTAGTAGCTGTGAATATGATCTTCTACGGAAATAGGGTCTTTGCAGATGATAAATGTGAGAAGTAATTACAGCCACCCTTAGTCCACTATGACTGTGTCCTTATAAAAAGGGGAAATTTGGACACAAAAACGCACACAAGGAGGACGGTTGTGAAGACTGAAGCTTTGATGTCACAAGCCAAGAAACAAGCAGAGCTAGAGAGAGGCCTGGAGAGCTCTTCCCCCTCTTCAGAGACAGCATGATTCAGTTTCCTAGATTTCCCAACTCAGAGACAACACATCTCCATTGCTCTAAGCCTCTCAGTTTGTGGTACTTTGTTACAGCAGCCCTAAAAAAGGAACACACGCATATTCTGCTCCATCCACTACTCTCTTCAGACCACAGCTGCCTCCCCAAGCCCATCCGAGGGTGAGTCAGGGAACTAAGACCCTTCATGGACCACCATTGCTATTGGGTGGTCATTTCCACTCTGTCAGGGAGTCCTGGTCTCAGCTGTCAGTCTCCTGGAGCTGTCCTGAGCCTCCACCTTGCTGTCCCTGGAGTCCAGAAAGCCCAGGGCTGGCCAAACCCCACCCCTCACACCTCTCTCGGCCCCTCCTCCCAGCCATCATCGATCCATTGGAACAGTCGTATGTCCCTTCATTCTCTAGACGGTGCCACAGGAAGGCAGAGAAAGGGGTCACCCCACACCAGCTGGTCATGGTGCCTTACCTGTGTCCACTGGACCCAGGCTGGTCCTACAATGGGATGAGGGCAGCACAGCATCCCACTGTTAGACGAGGGATAAAGCCAGCAAGGAGGCAGGGGAAGGAACGGCCTGTGAGCAGCAGCCCCTCCTCACAGGTGCTGAGATGGGCCTAGGTGCTGCATATTTCCTGGGAGGGTCAAGGGGTGGTGCCTCCTCCCATAGCAGCCCAAGGCATGGTAGTCACTGCTGCTGCTTCTGCTCTCTGAGTCTGGGGAGTCAGCCTCTGGTGGACATGGAGGTGGTTCTCCTGCTACAGGTAGGCAAGCGGCTGTGCTCTCCACTTCATACCACTGTGCTGGCAGCACATCCTCTGAGTGCAGGATCCCTGGGAGGCTGGTCCCAGCACCCCCCTGCTTCCCCTATAGGCCTGGGGACTGCCAAGTGCGTGGTGCCACAGGTGAGCAGTGCGATGGCCTCCAGACCCCAACGCTCCTGTTCTCTTTGCTGTGCCACCCCATTCCCTTCGTATCACAGTGCCCTTCTCCAACCCCTGTCAAGATTCCCCTGCTCCCCCTACCCCCACTGTCAGGTCTCCCAGCCATGGCTCCTCCTATTCCATCCATGACCCCACAAGAAAGTCAGTATTTGTGCCTCTGTCTCCACGGAGCAGCTTGGGAGCTCCCGAGAGTAGGGCCAGAGTCTGACTTCTCTGGGTTAAGGGCTATTGACCTCGGCCCAGACCACGTGTGGCTCTCCCCTGAGATGGGCACATAGTCAGGTGAGCTCAAGGTCAGTCACAGACATTCCAAAATCAAGGCCACACAGAGAGCTACCACAACTGACCCAGGAATTGAGTTTCCAGGAATTTATCCTAATAACCAGGTGAAGGGCAAAGGGCAGAGGACAGGGATGCCCATCCTAATGCTGCATCTGAAACAGACACACTAGAAACCATCCAGATGTTCATCTGTCGGGCACGCTGCATGATTCATGTACACTCACATCATGAAACACTGGCCCTGGGTGGAAAGGCTGATGTTCATCTCTGTACTTTGACATAGACAGATGCCCAGAAAACATGGCTAAGTGAATAAAAAGGGGGATTTCAAAACATTAAACTTTAATTGACTACAACATTTGTGTCATAGACACAGTGAATTACAACCTGAAGGGAAAATCCACCCTACTGTGCCCTGTGTGGGCTATCCTGACACATTTGCCTCCCAGTACTCAAGGCAGAAGCCCCTACACACAGAAATCTCAGAACACTCAGTAAACTTGGTGGAAAAGTCGGGCCTTGTGTATGGGCAGATGGCAAGGCAGCCAGCAGCAGAACACTCCCCTCTAGAATGGCCTTCCCTGCATACAAGTGCACAGGAGCCTGACTCTGATCCAGTTCTGCCGGAGTGGGACGGAACCACCTTTGACTTCTGATCTCATGAACATTTCTCAAATGCCTTCTCTATTACAGGGAATTGCCAACCAAACTATTCAAACATGACAGTGGGAAAGAATCTCTCAATGCTTTTCAGCAGAGACCCAAGTGGAACTCTGGGGGCCTCCATTTTGTATTTGGGATAAAGCTCTGTAACTCCTTGTGTTGAACAACCATACCATCCACACCCACTCCTCCTGGGGTGCTGCCTGGCTCCTGAGGACAGCTCAGCCCAGGCTGCTCCCTGAAAACTCAAGGAGCATCCTGGCTCCCCAGAAGGCATCGCCAGAGGCCTGGGTGTCGGAACACTGCACCTGGAAGACAACACAGGGTTAAACACAGATGCTGTCTACGCCAGGCTAGAGACCTGCCCTCTTTCCTGGGCACCTCCTGACCTTTGGAAGACCCCCCTCCAGTCTGGACTCAGGAGAGAAGACTGCCCCACAGCACCCCTCACCCCAGCTCCAGGTCCAGTAATGTCCAGCCACAAATCATCCTTGCCCCTGTTCTTTGCCTGGTGTGGCATTAGCTGAGTTCTCCTCAGCACTATGAGCTACAGATCCAGGAGTAAAGAGGGAATCATTCAGTGTTCACAGGGAAGCCTCACCTGGCTGGAGGGCAGGGCCTGGCTCAGCTCCATGGCAGACACAGGGCTGGGGAAGGTGGATGGGGCTGGGGCCAGCTCTGGAGGGCTGGAAAAGAGACAGTGTAAGGATAGGCTGTCTCAAGGGGACATTGGGTAACCAAATCCACCCAGCTGTGCTTTCTTCCTCATCAGGAGCCATTCTAATACCTGACACTCATCAGAACAGACTCTTTTTCTGCAGGGCTGTCATGTATGTAGGGTGTTAGGAGGAAATGAATGTATTACACTGAAAGCAGGGTCAGCTGGTGGGTGATAAGCGCAACTGCACAGAAGGCTCAGGGCAGGCCCATGGAGGAGCCAGTGAGCAGAAATGTGGAGGAAGCAGAGATCTCAAAGGAGGAACAGGCCTGGGGTGTGGAAACAAGACTGCGGGGAGCAGCAGGGAGAGCAGGGGTGCACGGCACAGTCACTCAGGACAAGGGCTGGTAGTTCCTCAGCAAGGCCAGCTCAAATGTAACACGTGACATGGCCACGGCACTCCTAGGCATGAACCAGGAGAAAGAAATGAAGGCAAGTGTGCACACTATACACACACAGGATGTTCATGGCAGCCTTATCTGTGATGCCCCCAAATTCCCATCCACAAGGCAAGGGTGAAGAAGTTGTGGCACAGCCACGCCATGGCATGTGGCTCCAGAGAGGAATGAACTGTTCATGCATCCACAACACGGTGACTCTCAAAGTACTCATGCAGAGCAAAGGAAGCCAGACGAGAGCAAAACAAAGACCCAAATGTGTACCGTATTTATGTGAAATTCTATAAAATGCAGCTATTCCTTAGTTACAGAAGCAGATCCATGGTCCCGGGTGGCCAGGGGGAGGCACAGAAGGGCAGGAGGGGGGTACATTGAAGATCTTCATCATAGTGGTAGCCTTGTGTGGATGTGAAAGTCACACTGAGAAAATTCAGGTGCTCCATCTACATAAGTACAGTCAATAACACCTCAATGAAGCCACTTTTCACCAAGGAACTGATGTTCTCAGGTTGAAAATGGCCTTCAGATTGGAGCAGAGAGGCGTGGGAGCTGGCGGAGCAAGAGGAAGGGTCGAGATGGCCATGTGGTGAGGTCAGGTGAGACATAGGGGACACCGTGGCTGTAGCAGCCTCTGCCTGGTCTCAGCTCCCAACCACGAATGGAAAAGTGAGTCTATCTATGTGGTGTACATTTTCTCACAATCTGGCTGTTTCAGCAAGCAGACCATGTGATTTGGGGGCTGCTTCCCCTTTTCTCCTACGTCCCCTATAATCCTGCCCTCGCTAGCATGAGCCTTGAGTCAACCTGGTTTCAGCTTCCTGATGAGGAAGGAGACCTCACACCCTGGGGACCTACTCTGCTCCTGCTGGCCCTAGTGTAGACAGGATGGCGTGTCTGCTAGAACAGGAGTGGTGGGGGTGACTGCCTCCCCACCAGAGGACTGCAGATCACCCTGTGACACTCCTTCCTCCCTCCTGTCTCTGCAGGATTCCACCTGCTATGCTGGCCTCGAAGACCCTGGTCATCTTCTCTCTGTTTCTGAAGTCTACAGTACAAACACTATCAACAGCAAGTGCTCACGGGGCCGTTCAAGACCCCCCAAAAATCCCTTTAAAACTACAGTTCAGAATATAAAAACAAGATGTTGATTCTGTCAGAAACTGACAGTGTTTGTCCAGGGAAAAGAAAACACCAGAAAGAGGCTGCCGGGGCCCAGGGTGATTTTGGGGGAGGGTGAGCCCTGATAATGTCCAATAAATGGGATGCCCACATCTACTCTGATGTTTTGAGGTGCTCTTTTGAGACAAAACTACCCTTCTCTTTGTAGATGTAGGCTATGGGGGACTGTTACAGTTTTCAGCAATCCAAAGGAAAGGGCTCTATCTGCACAGTCTGAGATGGCAAGTCTGCAAACTGGGCATCACCCTACCTTGTGGCCTATAGGAAGTATCGTCCAGGCCTGTGGCTCTTCAGGGCTTACCTCTGGGTGAGGATGAATTCAGGAGCTTGCAGTGGGGGCTGTGTCACCAGGAATCTGCCCACCTGTAGCTCTGCCTGTCCACTGCTTGTGCCTGGACCCTCCTCCAGCTGCACGCTCTGGGGATGGCCATTGGGTGGGCCAGCAAACCCTGCATGTGATGAGATTCCATGGCACCCTGGCAGGATGAAGGAGCACAGCCCACGTGTGACACAACCAAGACCTTAAAGTAGGGAGGTGGATGCAGCCCAGCTCAGAATACATGAACCAGACTCACGTCCCTGGGCCTTAGTCTCCCTTTCCAAGGAAGCAACTGTCACCACCATTAACCTCGACAGCCTTTACAGGCTTCCAGAGACCCAGACATGGTCGCATTCTGCTGACTTAAATGCTGCCCTAATCGCAGACCTCACGTGCCCTCGGTGCCAGAATCAGAGTCTGCAGCTTGCTCCCTCCTGCTGGAGCAGAAGGACGTGCCAGGAGCCCTCAGTCTCCTCTTGTGGCTGGTTCACAGAGTGCTCAGCCATCAGCTCTTGATGATTTCCACTTTTACATCTTACTAAGGTTACCAAGATGTCACTGAGGTATAAGCTGTCACTACCTTTCCTTTCCTTTGACTTTGTGGAAAGTAGACAAGCTACTGTGGATTTCGTCAATTCTGGGTGGACATTTAGGAAAGCTGTGGCCTGAGAAGGCAGGTTTTTTCCTGCCCTGAGTCTATTAGGCTATAAAACAAGTATTAAGACGGCCCTGCTCTCAAGATACAGAACAGGCCTGGGGGTGAGGCTCGTGTTGTCCTCCTTCCTGTACACCAGAGTCACTACCTAACTTGGTTCCTAGCTGCCCAGGGCCTTCTTAGGTCAAAGGGACCTTCCTATGTGCCTGCTTTCTGCTACTTTCTCTTTCATGCAGACTTTAGACACTCTGGATAGAGAAAATAATGTTCAAGCACTAGTTTGGACATTCTGGTTCTATCCATCATACTAGAACAATGGACTACATATTATCTCTCCAAGAGAAAGGGAAAGCCATGAGCACAATGTCCACAGTTGTGCCGTCAGGATGCAAGTACAACTCATGGTGACGGGGTGTCTGGCAGGGAGCTGGGGTGTGGGGCAGGGGCTGGGATTCCCAAGGAGCTCAAGAGGGAAATCATCCAGGTGCCCAGGCAGTAGCAGGGAGGCCAAAGGCAGGGATTTCAGCAGACAGAACAAAGAAGTTTGTTGATTCCCAGGGAATGTCACCCCTCACTTGTGCAGGCCCCAGGTTTAAAAACAAGCTCCTCTTGTCCCAGTGTGAAGACATCCAATGACCATCCCCACTCCAGCCTCATTAGTAATTACAGATAGGCAAATGTGAGTCTCCAACAGTTAAATTAAAAGGACAGCAAGACAAGAAAGGCCAGTGTGATCAAACTGACAAGTCCCCTCCAGAGACGTGAGCCCTAAGATCCCTTCCTCTTTCTGCCCCTGCATCAAGGAAGGGCCAGAATCCACGGTCCCAACAATCCTGCCTTCAGACAATGAAGCATATTAAAAAAAATTCTTATTAGGAACCTTAGGGAAGTATAAGATATTACATTCATAGAAAGTAACATAATCTATGAAGGAAGAAGAGTTCTAAGATCAGTAAAGAAGGATTGAAATTCTCTTAAGATATATAACTGTTGGCCAAGTGTGGTGGCTCATGCCTGTAACCCCAGCAGTTTGGGAGGCCGACTTGAGATCAGGAGTTCGAGACCAGCCTGACCAACATGGTGAAACCCCGTCTCTACCAAAAATACAAAAGTAGCTGGCGTGGTGGTGCATGCCTGTAATCCCAGCACTTTGGGAGGCTGGCTTGAGATCAGGAGTTCGAGAGCAGCCTGACCAACATGGTGAAACCCCGTCTCTACTAAAAATGCAAAATTAGCCAGTGCGGTGGCACACACCAGTAATCCTAGCTACTTGGGAAGCTGAGGCTGGAGAACTGCTTGAACCTGTTTCAGAAGTTTCAGCAAGCCAAGATCATGACATTGCACTCCAGCCTGGGCAACAAGATCAAAACTCAGTCTCAAAAAAAAAAAAAAAAAAAAGATACACAACTCTTAAAACAAACAAACAAACAAAAAACAAGACAGAATTTAAGAAATACTAAAAACTCACATACAATTTTAAAAAATGCAAGATAAAAGGTAAGTTCTCTGGGTGACTGGTCCCAGAGTTCCAACATCCAAATAACACTTGTGTTCTAAAGAGAGGGCTGAAAACACGGAAGCAGGAACTCACCAAAGATACTATCAAAGGATAAAAAAAAATGCACAGAGCTTACAGGAGACCTTATTCTTTAAGATGAAAGTCTTAACAGCAAGATGAAGCCAAAAGACCCACACCTTGGCTCTCATTGTGAAATTTCAGAACATCAAGACCAAAAAAAAAAAAAAAAAAGGAAAGGAAAAAAGAATCTAAAAGCTCCAAGAAAGAAAAAGTTGTTATCTTAAAGAGAATACACACACTGGGACACCTGACAACACTGAATGCTACAAAAAAAAAAAAAAGATAAAATGTCTTCAAATTTATGAGGGTGAAAAAGTATTTTCAACTCAGAATTCTGTCCTTGCAAAATTGTTAACCGAATGTGAAGACAGATCAAAGAATAAACAAGGACACAGATAATTTATCTTGCAGGCACCCTTTCTTGCAAAGTTAACTGAAGATGTTGGCTAACAAAACAAAGGAGTCAAATAAAGAAAGAACCAGACTTCAATTTCAGGACACCCTGGAGTAAACCCAGAGAAGCAGCATGGGAGCACTGGGGTAACAGCTTCACTCCAGGCCTAGGGAGCATCACTTGGATGGGAAAGGGAAAGAGGAGGGCCCCCAGCAGTGAGTTTTCAGATGAGATGCTTCAAATGCTGGAAGATGTTAAGGATGTGATAAAAGCAGACAATGCAAAAAGAAAAAGGAAAGGCACGGAGAAGCTCCAAGAAGGAAAAAAGCTGAAGAGAAAAGATGTATATACCCAGAGAATGTTAAATATAGGTTAATTTGGCTGGGCATGGTGGCTTACACCTGTAATCTCAGCACTCTGGGAGGCTGAGGCGAGCGGATCATGTGAGGTCAGGAGTTCAAGACCAGGCTGGCCAACATAGTGAAACCCCATTTCTATTAAAAACACAAAAAAGCTGGGCATGGTGGCAGGCACCAGTAGTCCCAGCTACTTGGGAGGCTGAGGCAGGACAATCACTTGAACCCAGGAGGCAGAGGTTGCATTGAGCCCCGAGATCCTGCCACTGCACTCTAGCAGCCTGGGTGACAGAGCAAGACTCCGTCTCAAAAAAAAAAAAAAAGGAAAGAAATACAGGTGAATTCATAGTGCCAATTTTCTCCATACAAACTGAGAAGTCTCATGATTCTGGTGTAATGGATGGACAAAATATTCACAAAACATACATCTAAATACATTCTTTAAATGATTTTACAGCTTCAATCATAACCTAGAAAGAAACTAAAATCATGACATCTCTGCTATGGGCTAAGGGGGGTGGACAGCTGGGGAGTCCAAGGAGCTCAGCCTCCTCTGCTGCACCAGGCGTTAACAGATAAATCAGGTGGACTGCAGTGGAGAGCGCAGGGTGGCAGCTCTTTCCTTTCAACTTAACTCTTTCCTCTTCAGTGACATGCGCGCACGTGCGCGCACACACACACACACACATACACACACACACAAAAATGGATGAGAAATAATCTGGGATGTTTGTGGGAAGAGTCTTTGTTCTGGCTACATTGACTCCAGGACTAATAAAACATCATGGGTTCAAGCAGTGTGGCTTTACCCACACTTCTATTCCTTCAAGCAGGACCTGAGTAGTCACAACGTCTGGTGCTGAAACTCACGGTCTGTCTAAAGTGAACCCACCTGTATGGCTGGGATCTCCAAGGGTGGCAACGGACACGGCCACCGTGGTGTCTGCAGGGTCCATCATGAAGTCCAGCCCATGACTGTGGACAAGCTGCCCAGTCTGGAAGGAAACTTCCTTGGAGGATGCCAGTGCAAGAGACATCAGCCAAGATTCAGGGGCAGCCACAGTTGGGTCCAGTATGCCACTGCCAGCAGCCAGAGGGCAGAGGCCAGGGCCAGGGCAGAAGAGGGGGAGGGTAGCAGGATCATGGCCAGGCCCCTCCTGGTACATCTCGCCACCTGGCAGAGACCTGGGGGACATGGAGAACACTGTTTCTTGGTGGGCAGTGGCTCCCTCGGGCCAGGGTAGCAGGGAGCATCGGGTGCACGGACAGGGCACAAACAGTGCTGGTGTGCGTAGGAACTCAAGATACACTGGCTAGTATTAACTCAGTGAAAAGTAAAACAGACAAAGTACTAGAAACAAACCACGGGGACAGCTGGGTGTGTCTTTAGGTGGCAGGCCTGCAGGTGTTTCCTTCTAAGTCTGTCCCCCATTCTCCAAGACAGACAAGAACTCAGGTTATGAGTCAGGCTGCAGGAGCACATGTGGGGTCAGAAGAAACTGTCCCCCACCCTCATCCCTGAAGCGGGCTCCTGCTGGTGGCTTTCCTCTCCCTGGGGCCTAACTGATCCCAGTGTGGGGGTCCTGTCATCCCTGTGCCCACTCCATGTCCTAGTCTCCACCCAAGGAGGAAAGGGAACTGAATAGATGAGGTGATTCCATGGCCGTGGTGATGACAGTACCTGGAAGCCAGTGGCCTTGAGACTGTCTCATCTGCAGGCAAGTCTGGGGCTAGGGCCAGTGGTTCCCATGGTCCTTGGGTGGTCTCTGGAAAATACTGTGGAAGTTCCTTTTCCTCACGTTCCTCTGAAAGTGATGAGATGGAAGGGGAGGCTTAGTGAGGCTCCAGGTCCAAGCCTACTTCTCAGCAGGTACGAGCAGCCCTGCTGATTGGAAAAGGCTGTTGCCATGGGGCCATCCCAGTATTTTTGCTTCCTGGCCTGTCTCTGGTGTGAATCAATAATCCATAATTGCTAACTCAGGACACCCCAAATCCTGGTGCTTGGTTCACTTCTCAAACTGAGTCACCAACTCCTTCTGTGGCCACACGACGCCCCTACTCTCCAGCCCAGCTCCTGGCCCTGCTACACAGTGACCTTGAAATGCAGAGGGGCAGCCACAGCTCGGCCTGTACCAGTCTTGAGCCTCAGACCCTCAGACTCTGTGATCTTGCTCCCACAGAGTGACACCTGGAACCTACTGACTGGGGGAGGGCTACCCCTGTAACCAGCATGACTACCCAGGCCTGGCCCTTGTCAGAAATCAGCTCCCCAACCACAAAGAAACTGGGGCCCTCGGGCCACTCACCTGACCACTGAGGCCTGTCCACAAACCCAGAGCCAACATGGGGCTTGCCTGAGGGCTGCAGGAGGTCGGGACCCCACTCCCTTGTACCAGGGTCTTCAGCTGTGGCCTGCCCAGCCGGCTCCAAGTGCTTGGGAAGGGCTCTTTGGCGGCGCCGGTAATTGGCAAACCAGTTGTACACCTGCTCAGGGGTCAAGCTCGTCTCCAAAGCCAAGTTCTCCTGCCCCCAAACAATAATACTTCTAGCCCTGCTTCCATTCCCTGAGGACAGGGGTATGTAGAAGTGGCTCTGACAGATCATTTCCACCAAGAAAGAGGGTGACAGCCCAGCCTAGCCTCTCCAAGGACAGCAGAGAGCAGTGAGCATGACCAGAACATGCAGACCTCACCTCCCTGGGCTGATCGCCATGCCCTGGGCAGTGAGGTTCAGGCCAAGTTGTTTGCACAGCCACATGTGCATATCCCCGAGTGGGGTCCTTGCTAGGTCCACCCAGACAGCATGCCCAGGGTCACCTGAGCCCCAGAGGTGCAAGGCCTGCAGAACCACACCACCTGTGCCTGGCACAAGCCCACTGTACAGTGGGAGCATGTTGGTCGGCGGATGCCTCAACCCACTGTCTCGGTGCCTGGCACACAGTGAGTGCTGAGCATGCAGCTGTGGGGTCACACACATGGATGTTACGACCCCATGTGAGAAAATGAAACCCTTCACGTAGCAGACAGGACAGTCTGCAGGGGCTGCCAATCAATAGGGTACCTGCTCGTCCCCCATCTTACTAAGAACTCTGGACACAGACGTCCAGAGGATAGGACCAGCACCCTGGGGGACAGGGCCACTGAGGAGCCTGGGGTAGGGATATCCCCTTGCTGGGGGGAGGCACCAGGGGGAACCCCTGGGTCCTGGGTGTCTTCCATTCTTACCCTCTCAGCCTTGCTGGGGTTCGTGCTCACCCCCACAGCGAAATTCTGCAGCTTCTCTCGAACCTCTCTGGGGAAGTTCCGGGTCTTCAGCCCCTCTGGGCAGAGGGAGGGGGGCGGGGGGTTCCTGGGCAGAGGGAGGGGGGCGGGGGTTCCTGGGTGAGGACAGGGAGGAGGCAGTAACAGACAGGACCCTCCAAGTCTGTTCCCTTCTCCAGGCCTAGCCTTCTGCAGAAGGTCACACTTCCTTCCCTGCGCCTCCTCCTGGGGGAAGCCACTGTCTCCTTGTCTCTGTGACACTCCTGGACCCTGGCACCTTGCCACCAAAAGCACTGCTTCCCAGCTCACAAAATCCAGTTAATTTCTTAACTCTCCTCTTAACTGGCACCTCCTCGGCTTCACTGGCTTCTGAATTCACTGGATTTCCTCTTCCTCTCACTGGCCACGTCTCAGCTGAATCTTCCTCAACCCCTCTGGATAACAAAGTCCCAGAGGTCTGTTCGTTGAACACAGAGGACCCCTCCTTTCTCTGTGCCTTCCCAGGGTTTCGGTGTCACTCAGAGAGATGACAAAGGGAGGTGTGGCTGGCCAGTGCTGGAGCTGGACACCAGCGGTGTTCCCGCTGGTCATGCTCCTCTCCAGTGCTGAGCAGATTTGAACATTTCACAGGAAAAAGGTGATATATGCAACAGTATTACTTGTCTGTAAAAGGCATGTCATCCCAATGCCTACTTGGACGTCTGAAATGCATCTCACACATCATGAATTCCAAAAGAACTCCATCCTCCCTCTCCAAACGCTCCCCCAGCCCCTGTGCACCTCAGTGAAGGAACCCTCATGCTCCTGGTGGTTCTCACACAGGCCAAGAGCCCTGGAGTCTGCTTTAGTCCTCTCTCTACTTCCTGCAATGTGTCCAGCCCATCAGTAAACCCCCTAGCTCCACCTCCAAAATGTACCTTGACACAATCCTGTTTCCTTCCCCCACCCACTGTCCCAGCCCTGGGCCATGACTAGAACCTCCTAGAAACCCCAGCATCTACTCCTGACCCTTGTATCTGCATCTGCTGTGACTCAGATGACACCCCCCGGGGACCATCAGCCCATGGAGTCATAACCCAATCCAGCCGCTACCATGGCTGCAGGCCCAGTGTCCTCCTGCTGCTCGTCAGCCTCTAAGGCAGGGTTGGTGAATCCCATTCCACAACCTGCTTCTCTGGCTACAGTCTAAGAATTGGTTTTACTTTTTTCTTTCTTTTTTTTTTTTTTTTTTTTTTTAGATGGAGTCTTGCTCTGTCACCCAGGGTGGAGTGCAATGGTACAATCACGGCTCACTGCAACCCTCACCTCCTGGGTTCAAGCGATTCTCCTTCCTCAGCCTCCCGAGTAACTGGGATTACAGGTATGCACCACCACACCTGGCTAATTTTTGTATTTTTAGTAGAGACGGGGTTTCACAATGTTTGTCAGGCTGGTCTCGAACTCCTGACCTCGTGATTCACCTGCCTCGGCCTCCCAAAGTGCTGGGATTACAGACGTGAGCCACCACGCCTGGCGTGATTTACATTTTTCAAAGGCTGTTGACACATATATTCCAACATATTTACTATATGCCTTTGAATATCAGGCTCCTCTGACCCCAAGTCTTTGAATGTATTGCCCCTTCCTGGAAACTTCTGCTCACATGGCTGGCACCATCATCACACTGAAGACTCTCCTCCAAGACTTGGCCCAGCCTGCACTGACCACCCCACCTAAAGCAGCCTCTTCTGAATATATTCTCTTCACAGCACTTCTCACTCTCTGAATTATGTGATCTACTTTATTTCTTTGTCTGTTGGCCACTGTCCACATCCCAATGTCAGTTCCAGGGAGGCAAGGCCTGGTCTTCATCCTCAGCACCTCCCAGAACCCAACAGGCAGGGGATACTTAACAAACATGCCAACAAGATGACACCACTGCACTCTGGCAGGCTGTCAGCATGTCTGTGGAGGGACACAGTCACATCCCCTGAAGACTCCACAGCTGATTTACTGCTGGGCTTCTGACAACTTGCCTCACTCCATCACTTTATTTGATGGCTACCATGCAAGAAAATTCTCTGGGCCAAAAAGGTATGCATGTCTTCTTCCTCCAGCGACCAGTGTTCTTAGTGGCCAGGCCCTGTGGCTCAGGAATCCTTTGTGACTTGGGCTGTCAGGAGTTCACAGCAAGATCTACAGCCCTTTTCTGACCACTGGAGAGCACCTGAGATGAAGAGTAAAGGCTCCCAGGAGTTTGAGACCAGCCTGGGAAATATAGCAAGACCCTGTCTTCACAAAAAATTAAAAATTAGCCAGGCATGGTGGTCACAGGTACTTGGGGGCTGAGGTGGGAGGATCACTTGAGGCTGGGATGTTGAGGCTGTAGTGAGTCATGACTGTGCCACTGCATGCTAGTCTGGGCAACAGAGCGCGACCTTGTCTCAATTCTTTTAAAAGAACAAAGGCTCCAATACCTCCGTGTCTGGGCTACAGTCCCGGCTTTGCAACTCTCACATGGGGCCTCAGATTAACCTTTCTGTGCCTCAGCTTCCTCACTCATCAGTGGTGATGATGGAGATAACAACAATTACTAGCAGTAACATTTATTTAGTGCTGATAATGGTGGTAATGACTAAGACTACCACTTACTTAATGCCTATCAGGTGCCCGGCACTATTCTGAGCTCTTGACACGTAACTCATGCTAACACTGGCAACATTCTCACCCTTACCTCTTTGAAAGGCCTTGTGGCCCTTCCGTGGCCACCTTCCCTCCATGTCCACTGTCCCTGGTTCGAGGACCCCCTTTCTGGCCAGTCCCTGGGTGGGTGCTAGGGGCGGGGATGATGAGGATGCCAACCTCCTGGCCTTAGCCTCAGTCACGTTGCGGTCAGCCATCCATTTCCAGCCATCACCCAAGTGAAAGGGCTGGTGGAGAGTACAGCTGGTGGAGAGTACAGCTCAGTGATCAGCATCCAGCACTAGTGTGACACACACTGAAGCCATCTTACGCTGCCTACGCTGTGACTTACTGCTCCGGCAGACATTCCCTACCCATGTCTCCTCACTTCTACTTTGCTTCAGTCCCTCTGGGATTTGCATGGTACATCTAAGCCTTTGGGATCCCCATGAAATACGCACGAGTAAATCCTCATGGGTTACCTCTTTCTGCAGCGGAACTTCTGCACAGGGGTGAGTGCCGCCACGCCCAGCCTCCTCATGACCAGACGGTAGTGGATGTCGTTCCAGAGCTGCACCAGCTCCTGGCTGCCTCCTGGCACCTGGCACCCCTGCCAAGAAGAGCATGCTGAGCCCTGGCCACCCACCCTGGAGCACTGTTGGGACCTGTGTCTACCATCCCAAACAAACTCAGCAATGGAGAAGGCAGTGATGTGATGAGCAGGGTTCTGGGTTCAAGCCCACTGATTTTACAAAGTGCCAGTGTGGCCACGCAATGCAGACATTGAGTCAGATGGCCCTCACTCCATTCCCAGCAGGCTCAGCGGTATGACTCTAGGCCTGCCAGGTCACCTCACAGACCTTGGGCAGATGCATTCACATCAGCCTTGAATGAGCTGCTTTTAAACATTCAACCCTCCTCAAAACAATGGTAAGGCACATGTGACAAGGGAAAGTTTAGTGATTCTCTTTTGGCCAACAACAAATGACAAGTGGAGCCGGGGTCATAACCACATGGTGTGATTTGAGGGTCTGAAGTCTGATTCACATCTTATGTGAAAGACTTTTGTCTCCCAGCAGCAGTGCTGGCCCCTCAGCACGTTCTGAGGTGAGGGGAATGAAGGGATCCCTGTCCAGTTCACCTGTCCGCTTAATGGAGGATGCCTGGTGCTGGTCTCTCCTGTGATTTCTGTGTGGCTCCCACCATTCTCTTAATTTCAATCACCTGCCACAGGAATGGTCCCTGTGGCCCCACACCAGCCTTCAACTACAGTGTTGCTTGGACCATCCTGGCAAGGGAAGTGCTGAGAATCATTCAGCTTTCTCTCTGAGGCATCAGAGAGGCCCAGTCTTGCTGGGCAATGACCCCTCAGACCCAATACCTCTGTGCCCATCTCCTCCCAGCATGTGGCCTCAGAGAGCCTGCATGACATGGGGGCAGGGCTGGGCAGGAACACCCTGCACAGGCTGGGGTTGCTGCCCATTCTTGGTGTGGTGGTCCCTTTGTGTCTCCCAGGTCTCAGCCCAGGTGGTGCTGAATGGTGCATGTCATGTGCTGGATGCCTGTGTTACTTGCTGAAATCTGAAAATTTCTGAATTGCAGAAAACATTTGGCCCAAAGGGCAATATGGCTCCTCAGACATACACGTGGATCACCCTGACTGAGCTTCTAATTCCTCTCCAGGGGGTTTTCATCATTGATGCCAGTGAGTGCCTTCACGGCAGTCGTGACAACTCTAACTGCATGCCCTCATTTGTTTACTTCATTAATTTTGACAGATTTGAAAGCCCTCGAGCCCTGCCAGGTTCTCGGTGTCGTGCAGTGTGTCAGCCAATCTTGCAGGGAGAAAGACTGGTGGCCCTGCCTCTGTGGACTGTCAGTGCAGTGAGGGAGGCAGATGGAAGGCACATTGACAAACATATAACCTTCTAGTTACAGAGGAAGGGCCAAAGAAGGGGTAATGGGGGGCAATACTGGAGAGTGAAGGAGGCATCACCTCCGTGGTCTGACATTTCAAGTAGAAACCAGAAGTGTAGGAAAGTACCAGCCACACAGAGAGCCTGGTGCCAGCTCCAGCAGAGGGAATGACACCTGCAAAGGCCTTGGGACAGAGAAGTATCTCAGGAGTTGGAACGGCAAGGAGACTGGCGCGGCCACCGCAGAGGAGGCTGGGGGGAGCCAGAGGTGGGAGGACAGCAGGAGGCTCAGACCCTGGCCCTGGGAGCCACTGCTCAGGGCACACTATGATGCCATTTGCATTGTAAAAACTACTAGCTGCTGTGTGCACAGGTGGAGGGGGCAGGAGGATACCACACTAGCTTTGTTGGGGGTTGGAAGGAATTGAGTATCTTGAAGGTAAACTCACAATGAATTATGCACAGACTGTATTACAGGGCCAAAGAAAGGAAAAAATAGGCCTTCAAATTCCTTTTTGGAAACCCTTTGGGCCATATGTTTTCTGCAATTCAGAATTTTTCAGATTTCAGCAAGTAACACAGGCATCTAGCAAATGATCCACACCATTCAGCACCACCTGGGCAGCACCCTGTCACCAAGCATACCCTTATTTAGGCAGCAGAATGTACAGTGGTCACATTAGTTGGACCAACAAATGCTAGAAACTGCTTCAGATCAGCACAGGTCACGTTCAAGACCTAATGTGTTGACTTTGAAGGTACCAGCAGGTGAGTGACCAAGACACTTTTGGTTTTCAGAGGTCTCCATTGCAGACTTGCAGCCAGAGACTGAGAGGGGGTACTGAACCTCTTGCTGACTGAGGTGTCGACTCCCCAAAATCAGGCTCTCACTTTATTCACTCACTTTGGTGGCATCACGCCTGTAGGATCACCACTCAACAGGGATTTGATGAATGAGTAGTTTTAACTCGGATTACCAAACTTGATAGAGCTTAGTGATGACAGTGGACTAAGCGTATATAAAACACGCCTCCCAGGTTTTTCCAAGGCACTGGGGTGTGGGCCTCTGGCCAGCGGGTTCCTACTAACTCCCAGGTACTACTGCAGTGCTGGGGATGGTGGAGGCTGCCTGGAGAAGTTGCCACCTCTCTCCGCACCCCACCCAAAAGCCCAGACCTACCTCCAGGAGCCGGCAAGCCGCATGCAGCTGCTCCTGTTCATCCAGGACTCGGGCGCACACCAGGGCTACATCTGCATTGTCCAGGAGGTGCAGGCGGAGCTGGCTGTCCAGAATGGCTGAAACCAAAGGCTTCACCTGGGCAAGGTCATGCTGAAAGTGCCGGCACAGCCTGCCTGCAAGGGTCACCAGCTCTGCCGGGGGTGGGCAGGTGTCCTCATGCTCCTTCAGCAGAGTCAGGAAGCTCTGCATCCCGTGCTGGGTTGTGGCCACTCTGCCAACACAGAGAACAGTCACAGGAATGGCCAACACTGACCACACCCTTTCTGTCAATCAATTACTCAACCTGCTCTGCGAAGCAGATGATGCCACGACTCTCGTGCCATGGAAACTTGCGGATCGGAATAAGACCTCACACATCCTGAGAGCGCAGCACCATGGCGGACAGCCTCTAGAATTTCCTTCTAATCCCCCAAATACTTTTAGTCTTTAACAAACACAGCTGTGCACCAAGCACTGGGCCGGGTACTGCTTGCAATAGATCCTCCACTTCTCTGAACCTTCCACCTGGCCACCGGTCCACAGCCCACACTGTTCCTCTCAGCTCTGCTTGCCTTTCCTTTCGTCCACCCTGGCACACACTTTGTGATTATATTTCATCTCACTCCTTCTCTGGGCTCATTGGGGTAGGGACCTCATGTGCAGTGGTCACCAGTGGATGCCAAGGCCTTCCATCTGAATCCACATATATGCACTTTTTTTTTTTGAGATGGAGGCTTGCTCTGTCGCCCAGGCTGGAGTGCAGTGGCATGATCTCGGCTTACTGCAACTTCCACCTCCCAGGTTCAAGCGATTCTCTTAGTAGCTGGGATTGCAGGTGTGTGCCACCACGCCCAGCTAATTTTTGTAGTTTTAGTAGAGACGGGGTTTCATCATGTTGGTCAGGCTGGTTTCGAACTCCTGACCTGGTGATCGGCCTGCCTCGGCCTCCCAAAGCACTGCATCCACATAGGAGGGACCTGTACTCGTCCTAACGGGGCCTCACCTAAGGACCTTTAGGAAGCTGGCAGTGACTGCTTTTCCAACAAAAACCATCTTTCCCAATCCATCTTACTCCTGCGGAATACATTTTTATTAACAGAAGTGGAGATACGGTAGCAGGTGCTGCCGCCAACGCTTTCCTTTTAAAAGGTCTGTGACTCTTCAGGGCCGCAGAGAACCAGCTAGGCTGCGCTCCCAGAGGGGTTCTTTCCGCCTGCATGAGGTCCCGCGCGCCCGCCAAGGGGCCGCCACCCAGTCGACGCCACTGCTGCCGCGGCCCTAGCGCCATCTCACTCGGGTCCTGACTCAGGGCTCTGTGTTTCCAGCTTCTACAGCGGGCGGGAGGCCGTGGACCCTGACTATCTTGAGGGAAGAGAGGCTGCAGGGGCCTCGGAGGAGGGAGAGGAGGCTCCCCGGCCTGGGTTTCCTACGGGGCGGGGTTTCTGCCATTTCTGGAAGCATAAGGGTTCCCGGGAGGTACCTTGGCTTATCCGCCCGAGGCCCTGAGGGGCACTTGGCTCCGCCTGGGATGGAAGGAAAGGGTCGCGGGAAGGGGCTCTGCTTGGCCTCCCGACTGTGGCAGGACACCCACTCACGGACAACCATCCCCTACCTCGCTGGGCGCCGCTCCCCGCAGAGGCCGGTACTCCAGCCTGGGGCTCCACCCTCAACCCTGCCCCGGCCCCCACACTCCTCACCCTGGGACCTCCGTTACCCTCTGGCACGCCCCCGCCCTTCACCCTCCAGAATTCCCCGCACCCGCGCCCCTCACCCTAGGGGACCCCCCC